CTGCCACCTTGGAGCCCCACACAGATCCTCACGCCTGTTGGATCTGCTCGGGTTTCAAGGACCTCAGGATCAGAAAGTGTGGGCCCCAGGGTCTCCTGCGCCCTAGTGCTGGGAAGGGAGGGGAAAGAGAGGTGTGCGCTCGTTGGGGCTGCAACAAGTAGAGTTCTGGGCTTTAACTGCACAAACAGCCCCCCGCTGGCAATGCCCGCCACCGTTCTCAGTGGGTCCCGGTGTGGATGTGGCCGCCGCAAACAGAGGGGAGTTCAAATGAGTAAGTGTTTGGCACTGCCCCTACCCCACGGTCTCTTCTCTGGCTCTGAGCAGAGCTGCCGACAGCCCCAGAGGCTGCGTTCTTTTCGGAAGCCACCTGGGAAAAAGGAGAGGGACAGACACGACTCCTGTCCTGCCAGTGGCACAGGGGAGCGCCAGAGGTCGCACTTTCCACTGCCCGGGGATTCTGCACCAACACCATACCCTCAGGATCGCCAGGCCTGTGGCAGACCCGGGCTCTGGGGCAGGGCCCCCAGATGTCCCGAGGCCTGCAGCCCCGGGGGCTGGCCATCGGCCCAGGCAGACCCCTGGGAAGCCTAGCAGGTGCTGCTCGCACAGTACGTGCATCTCTCATCCTCTGGGCCTGTCCCTGGGAAACCTGGGCAAATTCCCACCCACTTGCTTCTGGAAATTCCTGTCAAAAAGTGTAATTTTCAAATATATTTTTAAATGACTCGTACAAATATGGAATGAACCAGGCACCAAAAATCATTACACATCAAGGAGAGAATGAGTGTGGCCAAACTGGTGACAGAAGGTTTTGAGAGGCCAGGCACTGGTGCGCGTTCTGAGAAGCGAACACTGGGATGAGACTGTGACGTTCTCTACGGGGTAGTGTGTGCAAGTTCACAAGTAGCTGCAAGGTCTGGATTCAATAGAATAATAAATATCAAAGTCAAACACAGGTCCACTCCCCAAGATCAGAGATTGGCAAACTTTCTTTTCCTTCTTTTTTTTTATTTTTATTTTTTAAATATTTCATTTATTGTCAGAAGGGAAGGGAGGGAGAAAAAGAGGGAGAGAAACATTGACATGTGAGAGAAACATCAGCTGGTTGTCTTCTGCACGCCCCCAGCCAGGGACCTGGCCCGCAACCCAGGCTTGTGCCCTGACTGGGAATCCAGCGGTGACCTTTCTGTTCATGGTCCCGCATTCAGTCCACTGAGCCACAGCAGCCAGGGCAAAGTTTCTCTTTTAAAAATTTTATCTATTTTTAGAGAGAGGAGAAGGGAAGGAGGAAGAGGGAGAGAAACATCGATGTGAGAAACACTGATTGGTTGTCTCCTGCACCACACCCCCACCCGGGACTGGGCCCTGACAAGGAACCAAATGGGGAATGTTTCGGTTGGTGGGATGAAGCCCAACCGACTGAGTCACGCCTGTCAGGGCAGACTAGCCAACTTTCGGAAAAAGTCCAGGCATGCAAGTATTGGTCACAATTACTCTCAGAGCACAGAAGCAGCCACAGACAATGAGTATGTTTACTAGGCTTGGCTTATTCCAATAAAACTTTATTTACAAAAACACGGCAGGCTTGGTCTGCAAGCCTGCACAGTTGGAGGCACTCTGCCCTAGACAATCAAACAACCCTCGGTCTGGCCGGCTCAACAGTGCCCCAGCAGGGCGCTGACAGAGCACACTGCACCGGCCCCCCCCCCCCCGCAACCTCCCCCCCCCCCCGCCCCTCCGGCACCTATTTCCAAGGCTGAGCCATTTATTTTCCTTTTCACCAAATGTATTGGGGTGACAGTGGTGAACAAAATTATACAGGTTTCAGGTGCAGAATTCTACAACACATCATCTGTACATGGTATTGTGCGTTCACCACCCCAAGTCACATCTCTGTCCATCACCATTTATTCTCCCTGTACCCACCTCCACCTCCCTCCCTCCCCACCCACCCCAGAAATCACCATTTTGTCCACATCCATGAGTTTGTTTTCTTTTTTGCCCAATCCCTCCACCCCCACCCCCAGTACCCCGCCTCTGCCCCCAACAGCTGTCAGCCTGCTCTCTATGAATCTGTTCCTATTTTTAAATATTTTTAAAAGATTTTATTTATTTTTAGAGAGGGAAGGGATGGAGAGAGAGAGAGAGAAACATCAATGTGCAGTTGCTGGGGGCCATGGCCTGCAACCCAGGCATGTGCCCTGACTGGGAATCGAACGTGCGATGCTTTGGTTCACAGCCTGCACTCAATCCACTGAGCTACGCCAGCCAGGGCTGAATCTGTTCCTATTTGGACAATGTTTTATCCCAGCAGCCCCTTTCCCAGTTGTGCCAGGCAGACCTATCTTATCAGAAGATGGGAACGGCCACTTGACCTCCTCTTGGGGCACATTAATATCGAGCCTCTGAAGACTCTTTGGGGATCTCATGTTGGTTTGGGAATCAAAATGTTACAGAACAACAACGGGGGGCCAAGGGCAATGTACTATTACCCAAAAGGAACCCCCAGGTTCATCATGTCCGCCGCCTTATAGGAAAGACATCTCTCAATGCCAGAGATTCGTGAAAAGGAAAGGAAATGTTTATTTAATGCTATACAGACTTAAAGTAGTGACCTAATGTCTTCATCAAAATCCCAAAGTCCCTTAAAACACCCACAAACACACACAGTCCTTCTTTCTCCCTTTGCCCAGTCTGGGGTACCGTATCTCAGGAAAAGAAATAGAAGTCCATGGCTCAGGCAGCCTCCGGTCCTTCCCAGTAATCTCTCTCAGCTGGAAGGCCTCCCTCAGTTCTTAGCACCATCAGCTGTGTCGCCAGGATCTCTGCTAAAGCTGAGTGGTGGTTCCCTCTTCTAAAGCTGCTGGGATCCCCACTCTGGCAGAGCTGTGTGGCTCTTTCTATTGCCACAGCCAAGTGATCCTCTCTGCACAAGGGCCTTGGGAGTCCCCACTCTGGCAAAGCTGCATGGTTCTCTCTCCTATTGCCACAGCCACATGGTTCTCTGCAGTACCACAGCCGTGTGGTCCTCTCTCCAATGGCTGCCACCTCTGGGTTTAAATCCCCAGGCCAATCTTCCTCTACAGCCCCATTTCCGACTCCTCCCACAATTGGCTACACTTGCTAGCCCTCTCATATCTTTCCAGCTTTACTGGGCTGTCATCGTGAGTCTGGGCAGGCATGGCCCCATGTCCTGGAGCCAATCTTCTCCAAGCTCCCACCAGGCGCTGTAATGCCCCCAGTTACGTCTTGCGGGGGAGTTACTTCCATTCCCCTGGCTCAGAGCTTGGCCACAGCTATTCAACATATCTATGCAACCAGTTAAAGGTTATAGATATGTTAAATGACCACACCAGAGGTTAGCTGCAAAGCTGTTGCTATGCAAAACAGCTCTCAATGGCCCTGCTCCATTTGTCCCTTCCCCCAACTCACACCTGGAGGGTGGGGGGTGAGGACATCCTAATATTTCCTGGACACCCTGAGTTCTGGGCTCCATTCCAAATCCCTATTTGGGGCCCCCTTCTTGGCTGCACCCTGTTACAAAAAGGCAAGTGTGACCAGAACTCCCCAAGAGAGGGCACATCTACAGCGGCAAGGAGGGCGAGAGTCCTGCTGGGTGAAAGTTACCCCCCTACCTTAGCCCAGTTAAGGTCAGCCAGTGGAGACTGGCACGTACAGGCACATGCAATCCTGGCAAAGGTCACATCCTTGACCCAAACTTTTCTAGGATGACTCAGAAGGGTGGGAGTTACAGCCTCAGGGCATCATTACCTTCATTGCCTTCTATTCCTTAGCAGTTAAAGAGGTGCCTACCAGCTGGACCTGGAGGGTCAAGGTTGGTGTGGGCCTCCTGTAAGTGACACTTCTCCTCCCCAGGGCTCAAGGCTCCCATAGGAAATGGCCCTTCCCAGGAAATGGTAGTGGAAGCTCAGATTTCTTTGGGGGCTCCTTGGCTGCTGCCCAGACCTAGAGAAACAGGCTGGGCCCTGGCTGGTGTGGCTCAGTGGATTGAGCGCTGGCCTAAGAACCAAGGGGTCACTGGTTTGATTCTCAGTCAGGGCACATGCCTGGGTTTTGGGACAGGTCCCCAGTAGGGGGCATGCGAGAAGCAACCACACATTGATGTTTCTCTCCATCTCTTTTTCCTCCCTCCCCCTCTCCCTAAAAATAAATAAATGAAATCTTTAAAAAAGAAAGAAAAAAGAAAGAAAGAAGCAGCAAGGAAGCTGTTAGTACTCCAGTCGCTAATCTGAGACTCCAGTCCCATTGTTTCTAACTTGGGTAGGGCCTTTATACTCAGCTGTAGTCTGCATAAGATCAACCAATCAAAACTGGGACTGATGCACTCATCCCTCCCAGAGCCTCTTTCACACCGGTATACATACCTGCCTCCTGCCTCCTGCCTCCTGCCCCCGCCCTCACACAATTGTCTCCATAACAAGAAGCTCATGAGGGCACAAGCCCACTTGGTAAACCAGTACAATACAGCAAAGGATCTTGTAGCAAATTGCCCCCGCAGCCTTGGCAGAGGGCTGGTCCTTACCCAGCCGTCTACTTCAGGGAATGGACGCCCATGAGCCCTGAGGTTTCTTCCGCCCCCGCCGGCCACCCCTGCCCCCACACCCCATGGCTCCATTCTCCATTCTCGGTTCAGGGACTTCTTATGCCAAGAGCACATTTCCAAAGATACAAGGGATGTGACGAGCAGAGAGAGGCCAAGTTCTGGGTTGCCGCTTAGTTTGGGCGAGGATATCTCACTATGTAGAGCAGCTCCCAGCTCTCCAAACACGCGACAAAGAGCACCCAAGAAGGGACTTTCTGGACTCACACATGCGCACCTACGAAAGGATGGTCTGGCCTCAAGCCTGCGAAGAACTACCAGCCTCCTTCGGTCCCTGCCTTGGGTTCCAGCGCCTGCGCAAGATCCTCCAGTCCGGCAGGGGGCAGTGGGCCAGTCCTCACACGAGTTTGGCGCCGTCGGCAAACGCAGACGCGGGCGCTAACCCGGAAGAGGTTGCGTTAAAGAGTTCTGGAGGCGCTGGTGTTGGCAGCCGAGACTTTGTCCGCGGCTGGGGCGCTAGGATGAACGCCCCTCCTGCTTTTGAGTCGTTCTTGTTGTTCGAAGGCGAGAAGAAGTAAGTGGAGCCGGCCGGCGAGGAGGTCGAGGGTCGCGGGCCCCTAGCTGTCGGCCGTCCGCCCCTGCAGGTTGTGGGGCTTTTGCCCTCCTCTGCCGCGGCGGGGAAAGGGGCGGGCGGGGAAGCAGCTTTTGCCCGAATGCCCGTTCCCGAAGCGTTTCGCTCCTGCGCCTGCCAAACTTAAGATAGCCCTGCGAGGCGGGGACGGGTCTCCCTTTTGCAGATGAGGACACCGAGACTCAGAGATTCCCCGGGCACAGGGAAAGTGGCGGGTCTGTTTTGGAACCCGGAATGTGTGGATCCAAATGCCTTTTCCTTTGGGTCTGGCAGTCTTCTCACTCGTCCCCTGGCCCGGCACCGTTATCCTCCTTGTTGCAACCAGAGTGATGGCTCTTAGACTCATATCCAACTTCCAAACGCCTGTGTAAAACCTTCAGTGACTCCTCATTGCTTGCAGGGTGAAGGAAAATGCAGCCTAATAGTCAGACAGCCTGGGCTTGGCTCCTGCATCCCCCACTTAAGGACTCTATCTTTGAGCCAGTGACTTAATCTGCCTGAGGCCTACTTTCCTCATCTGGAAAATTGGCTTATTACTGTATTAAACCACAGTACGTAAATCTGGGGGGAGATTAAATGACGTAATTTATGTAACGTGTTTGTAGTCCAGGGCTCAGCACCTAAAGACCCAGTTAAAGATTGGCTTTGCAAACTTCTCTTTACAGACTGGTTATGCAGGGCGCTATGGTCTAGCCCTTTGCCAGTCACTTCATTCTCCCTTGAGAGCAGCGCTTCTCAACTGGCCCCTGACCCCAGGGGACTGTTGGCCATGTCTGCAGACCGTTTTGGCTGTCATAAAGAGGGCACTGCTGGCATCTAGTGGGTAGAGGCCAGGGAATTACCCAGCCTAAAATGTCAGCAGTGCCAAGGCTGAGACACGCTGCTTTAGGAAAAAGGAGCAATCCAAGTAGGTGGCAGTCCCACACAATCGACCCCCAGAAACTAGGTTCAGGGTATAGACACACTGCTGCTAAGTCAGGGAGGTCTTTCCAGAATGAAGAGATGGAGAAAGGCTTCCAGGAGTAGGTGGGACCTGAGCCTACCTTAAAGGGTAGGGTTTAGACTCAGGGAGGAGGGGAGCCCCTGCCCCTCCACCCCCATCTCTTGTTTCTGCCTCTTCCTAGGATCACCATTAACAAGGACACCAAGGTACCCAATGCCTGTTTGTTCACCATCAACAAAGAAGATCATACACTAGGGAACATTATTAAATCGTAAGTTTCAAGTCAAAGGCTTTCGAGTGCTATGTTTAATGGGGCTCTTTGAGGCAAAGTACAAATTCCAGAAGATTTTCTTAAGGGTCCCTGAGCTACATGAAATCCTTCTGTACTTGCTCTGGCAATGCACTCATTCCACTACCTTTTGTTGAAAATGGCACTAATATTTCTTCCCTTAATGTATTTCTGTATTGGCTTATTTATCTAACATAAGTGAATATGCAGGAAGCCACTGAAAAGTAAGCTTACTTGTGTTTTTATGCTAATGTGCATGAAGTAGCAGCAGAGGTTAGCTCCCACCCACCCTGCCTGTTTGTGCAGTGACCTCAGCAACACCTGGCATTCTAAGGTGTGTATGCTGGAGATTGTAACTGAGAGAAATAAGGGGAAGAGGTAAAGGGGGCCTGAGGGGTCTTCCGGTGCCCTGGTGGGTACCCGACTTTGGTTGGTGGGTGCTTGTTTACACCAGTGAAGTCCTGGCCAGGGAGGCAGTTGGCAGTGTGACTGATGCTCTGGCCCAGGGGCTTGTCCTTTCACAGCTGAAAAGCACCGTCAGTGAAGCGGGCTCTTCCCAGGTTTGTGTGTTGGAGACTAGGCTGAGGCCTGCCTGGTCTCCTGGTGAAAGTAGAGGGTGGTGTTGTCCATCTTTGGTTTGGATGACTCCCACCCTGAACCAAGCCAGTGGTGCACCCAGGCTCTTTGGGGGCCCTGCTCTTCCGTTGCTGTGTGAGCTGTGCCCACACCTATGCACAGGCCCCTCCTCTAGGAGCTCAGGCCCCTCTGAGCTGCTCTGGAGAAAAGCCCAGCAAACAACACTGGCTTCACTTCACCACAGCCGAGTAGAGCAGGGCGCTGTGGGGCGAACAGCAGCAGCCAGGGTGTTGCCTAAAGGACTTCCGTTTCTCTAACTGCTCAGAGTCTGGGGCCTTGCACCCCTGCTGCCTTTATCTGTGGTGCCAGATGCTTTTTGGGCTGGGAATGGGGCTTCTGTGGTACTGAATGTTGGCTGGATTTTTACTGCCTAGGGAGGTCTCTTTCAGGGCATTGCAGGTCCTTGACTTCCCCTAAGGGAAGAGGTGATTGGAAACCTTTTTTACCATGATCCTCATGGATAGTGGGGGGGGGACGGGGGGGACGGGAAGAGTCCCCATATGGCATATCTTCTCCAAAATACCTGTTTTACTTGAAGGTTGTGTGTTTTGTTGTTTTGTTTTTGTTTCTGTGGCGGGGGGTGGTAACAACTAAAAATTAAGAGCAGGGGACCACCTGCTGCCAGCTGCATTTGCTTACAGACAACGGGAAGACCCCTTGGCTAGAAGGCCTGGTAAGCTCCAAGGGCACTCGCCGGCCCACTCACGCGGCTTGTCCCTGTATCTCAGACAGCTGTTGAAGGACCCACAGGTGCTGTTTGCTGGCTACAAAGTCCCCCACCCCTTGGAGCACAAGATCATCATCCGTGTGCAGACCACGCCAGACTACAGCCCGCAGGAGGCCTTCACCAATGCCATCACAGACCTCATTAGCGAGCTGTCCCTGCTGGAAGAGCGATTCCGGGTGAGGAGAGAGCTGTGTGGGGGTGGGGTGGGGTGGTCTGGGCACCACCCTGTATGTCTCAGAGATGCAGGTTATCATGCCCAGACCTAGGACAACCTGAGTTGTTTTCTCTGATTTATTTGGGGGAGGGACAGAGGTGATGAGAGAGCAGGGACTTCCACCACAGCCTCCAAGGAGTGTGGATGAGGTTATGATGTTGCAGCCTGGGGCCTGCTGTCTGCATCCACGGGCAGGACCCTCGCCTAGCGCTCTAGGGTCTCCTCGAGCACTCTCATGGTCCCCGAGGAAGCACAGGGCCCACTACCTCTTAGTGCTGCTCCTCCAAGTCTGTATGCAGGTGCTGGCTGCTCTGGTTTGCAAGGCCTGGCTGTGTCCAGGGTGTTTGTCTGTTTAGAGGGCAGCTCATCCTAAGGTGGGGTCACACCTGTTCAGGCAGGGAGCCTCAAAATCTAGATAACCTAGAGTGGGAAAGACCCACAGTCTCAGATTTGCCACAGCTTGCCATATACTCACCAGGAGGCACCTCTGCTCCATCTGACTCCTGTCCTGGGCAACAACAGTAATGGGGTGGGCGGGGCTGGCCCAAAGAGACCCTGGGTTGCTGGCTGCCCGGCCCTCTGGAGCTGTTCAGGGCCTGGTTTACTGTTTCTCTCCAGTTCGTGGCTGCACCCTGGAGGCTTGGAAGCAGTTTCCTGGCAGACCTGGGGCTGAGTTCCCACACCCTCACCCAGCCCCTCCAGCTAAGTGCACTGTCTTTCCTTCCCCTCAGGTGGCCATCAAAGACAAGCAAGAAGGAATTGAGTAGCGGGCTGGAAGCAGTCTGGGTTGGCCAGTTCTTACCCTGCACCAGCCCTTCTCCCGGCACCAAGTAGAAGACTGCAGCCTCTCACAGCTGTGGTCCTCTTTGGAGCTATCCCAGAGAGCCCCTCACCCCGACACCGACGTGTCCTGTACATAGATTCTGTTTCACCTTCCTAATAAAGTGTGGCTGGCAAAGCCCGGGATGTGAGCTGAAGCAGAGGCAACTTCCCAGCAAATGGACTGTCAGGCTCAGTGGACGTAGCTGACCTGTTAAGACAGGGCTACTCTGGGGCCACACTGCAGAGTGGACTGGCCCGGAAGTCCAGATTTCTGCCTGCAGGGGTGGCAGGAACAAACGCATTCTGCACCAACTGGGAACCCGGGGGGCTGCAGGGAAGGCGGGCTTGAACAGGAGGGGACCGCTCAAACCCCTGTACTCCCGTGAGTCTCCACTGTGGAAGCCCCGATGCCAGCTCAGCCTGACTTACTCCTACCAGCACCACCAGATGGGGCCCACAAACAGCTCCCCAGGCTTCTCCATAGTAGAGCATTTAATAAAAATATTCACTCATAGAAAGATTCCCATCCTCTGCCCAAAAGTTGAATAAGTTAAGCTGTATCCCTGGCACTCTGCGCTGGAGGCTAGTGTCTCTTCCAGATGGCTACAATGTTGGAGTCCGTCAGAGCAGTGAGGTAGGTAAAGGTGGGGTTGGCCACCACCGTGTTCACCATAGTCTTGGTCACTGTCTGGTTGAGGGCCCGGGGTTGGGGCCACTTCAGGATCTGGTGGGGAGAGAGAGGGGGGCTGGGCTCCTTCCTGGATACCAGGCCCCCGCAGGGAGGAGAGGGCTGAACTGTGTGTACCTGCGTGGGGGCCTGCGGCACCGCCGGCAGTGGAGGCTGCTGGGTTAGCACGTGCCTGACGTCGTAGATCCACACGCTGCCTTCCTCATCCCCGCAGAGCACAATCCCCTCATCTGCGGGGGGCCAGAGATTGGAATCTAAGGTGGGGTGGAGCTCCGGGAGGTGGGAGGCGGGGTGGGGTGTGTAGGTGGGCTTACCAGGACAGGTGCTGAGTGAAAAATAGGCCAACTCCGTGGGCGACCACTGCAGCCGAGCCAGGACCACCACCGGCACTGCGGACCGGCTGCCCCGGCCCAGCCACGTCTGGCTCCAGCTCCACAGGCAGATGGTGCCCAGGGCACTCCCCTTGGAGGCTGTGAGGGAGAATGAAGAACTGCCTGGGAGGGCCTCTCCAGGCATTTCTTGTTCCACGGTGGGGACCCCCCAGAAGCTCTTGGACCTAACACCTAGCCCAGGGGGAAGCAATCCACGAAGGCACTGTCAGGGCCTAGCAGGGTCCCAGGAGGCCAGACTGCCCTGAGCAGGGCTTGCTCACCCACGACGTCCTCATTCACAAACGCCAGCCCGTCCACTCTCTGGCCAGATGCCTCCGAGCCCTCAGAGAAGACGAACTCCACTTCACACACCCTGTGGGGCCACAGAAGATGCTGGTTAACCTTCAAATATATAGAGTTTCCCATTCATCCAATGAGAACCACTCACTGGGCCCCTACTCTGGGCCCTGCCCTGTGTGGAGGCCAGAAGATGCAACTGAGGATATCTGGTCCGGGCCCTGGAGGGATTGAGTCTCACCCTGGAAGTGGGAGCCAGCAACTGTACACTGCATCACAGGTGGTGGGAGCCCAGAGGCATTAGGGGCTGGTTCTTCCAGCATGGGGGGTGCAGTGGCCAGGGCGGGTTCTGGAGAGAGGCAGCACCTCTGGGACTGGGAGACGAGCAAGAAGGCATTTCTAGCCGAGTGCTGGGGGCCTGAGAAGGGGAACTGGGAAGGGGGTGGCTGTGACCTTGAGGACAGTGGAGAGTGGCTGCTGAATGTTTCTAAGCTGAAAGTGTGTGTAGCATCACGCTGCTTGGAGAGAACGAGAGGACACTTGGAAGCAGGGAAGCAGGCAAGTACTGAGGAGGAGCAGACACATCTAGGATGTGGGGAAGAAATGCCACAGGACTCGGGGACCAGGCAGACGTGAGTGGACAGGGAAGAAGGAGACAGGCCTGGGCCTAACTCCAGGGGTGGCACGGGGCCACCACCAACACTTGGCTGGATGAGCGCCAGAGCCTGCCAGGGCTTCTACTACTTCCCTCCCAGGAGCAGCTCTTTCACCCATGTCACCCGGTCCTAAAGTTCTTTCTAGGCTATTCGCTGTACTTAAGGAAAACCCAGAATCGTACCATGGCCAACAAAGCCAGTGTACTCTGGCCCAAGCAACCATACCACCTCGTCTTACACCAAGCCGCGGCCAGGCCTCCCTGGTCAGCCAGTTCCTCCTACCACTGGCCCTTTGCACATGCTGTTCCCCCTGGGGATGCACTGTTCCTTCTTTCTAGCCACCCGACTCCCTCACAGGGCTCACGTGGAGAGCACGAACCTGTGAGCTTATGCATCTGCCACTGGTCACTTCGAGTCCCTTGGCCTTCCTGTTCCCCTTTCAAAGTGCTGGATTCTCTTTCCTTCATAGCTGACATGACACTTTGTGGGGTTTTAAACATTGGCTGCATTAAACATGTCTCTGCCACTATGTTTGTGGGCCCCGAGAGGGCTGGGACCCCATGCTGTCTTGGTCCTTCCAAGTGGCATTGAAGAGCCACAAGCCTCAACCTGGCCTTCTAGGGCACTGTCCCTGCCCAGACACCATCCCCCTTGTCCTCCACTGGGCTTGGCATGCAGGTGACTCTCCCAGCTCTACGGATGAGGAAATTATGCTAGGACAGGAATGTCACATTGCTAGTAAGTGACAGGACATGGGCACAGTGAAGCCCCAGCTTGACAGTGAGGTGATCACAGCCCAGAGAGGAAACCGACCCAGCTCAAATCCCACAGCCAGACACTAGGGAAGGAACGGGTCACAGGGACCTTTACTCAAAAGGCATCAGGAGGTACGGACAGGCCAGTTCTGTGAAGAGGACCCTGAAGACAATCTCTGGCTGCCAGAGCATCGCGCATGGTTTTGGCACCACCTCTGGCAGGTGGGCCTGGGTCAGACATCTGCACTGGCAGCTGCCCAGCTCTGAGGCTTGGCCTTCAAGGCACCCCAACCACCTCACCTCCTCTTCTGAGGCTGGTCCAGCCGCACGTCCCAGCAGCAGCAGCCACCCTCGCAGCCAGCCAGCAGATAGGCGTCCGGACAGGAGGCCACAGGGCAGAGGCGCAGGGGGGTGGAGGTGGTATCGAGTGTGAGCAGCTGGCTGCCAGCAGGGGAAAGGGAGAGCATGAGGCCACGGGCCCGGGTGTCCACACCCCTGGCAGCCAGCTCTCCTCACACCAGCGCTGCCCAGATCCTCACCTGGCCTGGAAATTGTAGTCTTGGTCGGGAACCCCGATGTCCCAGAGGATGATCTTCTTGTCATAGGAGGCCGCTGAGTAAGAGATAGGAGGGGAGAGGCGGCTCTGAGGAGGCCTTGCGCCCTCCTGAAAGGCCCAGACTGCGGCTCCAAAGCCAACCCCTCTCCAGCACAGAGGGAGGGCTGTGGCCCCAGTCGCTATCTTCCCCTAACCTAGTGAGTGCCACACCCGGCAGTTACCCTTTGTAAGGTGCTGCTCACACATCACCCTCACCACAACTGAAAGGCCATGGGTGTTTGCCCCAGTTGAGAACAGAGTGGCCCAGGTTGTCGGAAAGCCCCAAGGCCACAGAGCAGATTGTGAGAAAAGCCAGGGTCTGAAGCCCAGTCATTTGTCCACAAAGTCGCATCGCTTCTGTCAAGGCCGGAGCCAGCCCTGGCAGCCTGGAGTGAGAGTGCCAGCCGCAGCAGTCCCCTAACATCCCAGGGAGGGAGCGCTGAGGCATCAGGCTGCAGGACAGGGTGCTGGGGGGCCTCTGGGGGTATGCGGAGAGGGTCTTACTGAAGAGGTGGGTCTCGTGGGTGGGGCTGAAGCAGAGGGTGGCGATGGCCTTCTTGTGGGCGCGGATGACCCCGCAGCAGAAGCCAGCACGCACGTGCAGCAGCCGGACCTGGCCCCGTAGGCCTGCAGCCGCCAGTATGCTCCAGCGCCTCTTGTGGCCTGCCTGTGTGACCACGGTCAGGGCTGTCCAGGCCACTGAGAAGAACTCCTGTGGGAGTCAGGGGTGGGGCAGTCACCAAGGGACAGAACTACATGGGTGCACATGCATGCAGGATCAGATCTGGGACACTGAGGCCCAGCATCAAAGAAAAAGGTCACCTGGGGAATAGGTGGCACTCCTGCCCCCAGGGCTCTGCCACCGCCCTGCAGGAGCAGGGCCCTGGCACTCACCTCACCAGGTACCTTGTACTTGTGCAACACGATGCCCGTCTGGCAGTCTATCACACACACAGCCTCCCCGCCGCATGTGGCCACAGTCTGGGACGTGGCCCTCGTGTGCCCTGTTTTGGGGGGATAGCCTAGTGAGAACATTTTCTGTAAAGTTTCCCCCTGCAGTGCCCTCCACCTGGCCTTGATGATGTTTTATTTTTTCCTTTTAAGATTTTTTTTTTTATTTTTAGAGGGGAAGAGAGGAAGAAAGAGAGAAAGAAAAATTGATGTGAGACAGAAACTGATCGTCCACCTCTGGCACGCTCCCCAACTGGGGATCGAACCCACAACCCAGGCATGTGCCCTGACCAGGAAGTAAACTGTGAACTTTTGCTTTGTGGGATGACACCCAACTGAGCCACACTGGTCAGGGTGCCGGGACATTTTTAAGCTCTCTGCCCCTCCTGATTTCCCCATCACCCAGGCCACCCCCCACAGGTGGCACCCCTGTCTAGGAAGCTCGTTCTGCGTGTTCCCTGAGGCCCTTGCTCTGCCTGCCCGCCAAGGGTGTACCCTCGTTCCAGGCTGGCTCGAAGGCGCAGGCCCAGAGCTGGGTCTCCAGGTCCTGAGGACTGTTGTTCTTGCTGTGGCACTGCAGGAAGTGCAGGGGCTCCAACTTCGGGGCAGGCTGTGGGGGCAGAAGCGGGTCACACCTGCCTCAACCCTCGCTCCCAGCCACACACTCCCTGCCACCTTGCTAGAGCTTACCTGGCTGCCACCAGAGCCCATGGGGCGGCCCTCCGCCTGGGCCGGTGGGGAGGCGCACACCCGCTTGCTGGGGGAGAGGCTGAGTGGGATGTCATCCGGCCGTTTTGAGGCCACTGGCCTGGCCTGCATGGGGGAAGGGGTGGCTGAGAGCT